ATAGTACCACAGGAGTACTACTGGAGAACTATGTAAGTATTATAGGCTTACTATAGTACCACAAGAGTATTGCAAGAGAGGAGGACAGAAGTACTGTACAGGGAACATGACGGGATTATTTTTAGAGAACCACATCAGTATGACAAAATTACCATAGGAGGATTATGTGAGCGCTACAGGAGTACCACAAAAGTACTACACAATGCAGTGCATAAGGAATTGGAAACACAGACAAAGAGCAGTACTGGTGATATATTAATGAACTGGTCAAATGTGTTTTGGGTCAGTTGTGTCTTGGCCAGGTATGTCTCAAGTCAGGCGAGTCTGGGACCAGGTGTTTAACGAGTCAGGTGTGTTTTGGGTCAGGTGTGTGTCATACCTGATGGTGTGCAGCTCTTCCCGTCTGCCTCCAGTTCAAATCCATCAGCGCAGCCACATTGAACTTCAGCGCCGCCTGCCTGGTCTCTGCAGTACTGTTGGCAGCCGCCGTTTTTATAACGACACTCTGACACCACTGTTTAGACCACAGGTAGAGTCAGAGAAAGATCTCACCTGGTCCTCACATGTCACTAAGTCCCACAGTTGCGTTACCTCATTGCAGACATGAATGTCAGGGAAATTTGGGGCTTTAATGGATTATTTGAACCGTTCTCTTTCCAGGGTGGAACTACACAACATACAACTTCAGTGGGATTTTAAATTAAATGTGAATTTGTTTTGGACTTCCTCTGATCCTCAACGTGAACCCAAGTAAGTCTCACCAGGACCTCAAAGATTTGCTCCCATCAATAAACTTCTTGCAGAACTGGTGGAGTCCATTTAAATTAGTTGGTTTCCTGGAGATTTTTTTTTATCAGAGTCCACAGATTTTCATCAGGCTGAGGTCTGGGCTTTGGAAAGGTCAATCCAGAAGTTTCACGTTATTCCTCATCGAATCAGAAACCAGTTTTGATGTGAGTCTGGGATCATGGTCCTGTTGGAATGCTCAACTGTCCAAGTTCCAAATCAACTGTTGGTATGAGATGAAGTTGAGAAATTTGGAGGTAGACATCATCCTTGCTCATTCACCACTTGCTCTCAACAAGGTTGGACGCTTTCCCCTCCCTCTTCGCTTTGCTTTGCTGCTCTGTCTGTCTGTGAAACTCTTCTGAGCCTCTCTTCATATCTTCTGAACCATAATTATGGACTTGATTTGATCGGTTTGTCCCTCAACTCAATTTACAACATTTCTTCGAAGAGAAGACAGGTGAGCCAATTTGCCCTGTTGGCACGCACACAGCTGGATATGTCATCGACTGTTGGTTTTATCAACAATCAATCCCTCGAGAATGTTGATGGATCTCACCGGAGGGAACTGGTTGATTGATCCATCCTTATCAGAACTCTAACAGTGTCATCGAGTGTGTCCTTGGACATTGCTCACCGCTCTCATATCGTCACCCCCGCGGAATGTCTACGTCACCATGTGCTTGTATGTGCGAGGTGTTTTTTTAATATTAGAATTTTTCTTCTCAGCCAAGAAGAAAAAGTTTAATAGGATTTTTTTTGCCTCCAATTCCCATGTGTCCAGTTTCACTACTTTTTGTCTGTCTAAACATATCTCACTTGTAAATGAGTTTTCGAGGCTCATTGTGATTTATCTGTCTAAATAAACGTTGAATGAATCCTCCATTATTTCATTCACAGCATAATGCTACCACCACCATGCTTGACAGTTGTTTCATGGATTTTCAGTCTCAAAGTGTCCCGCTGACTCCTCCAAACATCCTTCTTTACTCCTCAATCTTTGTTTTGTCTGAACATTAACATTTCTCCAGAAGACATCTGGATTGTCCACGTGGACAGTTTTGGTTCCAGTCCAGCTTTTAGACGCAGAGCTTCTGTCATGGTCCTCTCAGTCCTCAGTGCTGCATTTGATACAGTTGAACATAATATTCTACTACAGAGATTGAATATGATATTGAGATTACAGGAATGACTCTAAATTGGTTTAAATCATACCTATCTGATAGATTATAATTTGTAAATGTAAATAATGAATCTTCTTCACACATAAAGTTAGTCATGGAGTTCCTCAGAGTTGAGTGCTTGGACCAATACTCTTTACCTTGTATATGCTTCCATTAGGTAAAGTTATTAAACAGCATGGGATACATTTTCATTGTTACGCTGATGATACTCAGTTATATTTGTCCATTAAACGCAACGAATCCAATCAGCTACTTAGACTACAAGCATGTCTTAAAGACATAAAAACATGGATGACCCTTCATTTTCTCCTGTTGAACACAGACACGACTGAGGTTTTAGTTTTTGGACCTGAGCACCTTAGGAATTAATGTTTCAGTCTTTCTCCCTCCTTAGATGCATTAATCTGTCCTCCAGCTCTAATGTTAAAAATCTTGGTGTTATTTTTGATCAGGACATGTCTTTTATCCCCCACATTAAAAACGTTACTAGAACCTCCTTCTTCCACCTGCGTAATTTCACTAACATTAGAAACATCTGATCTAAAGATGATGCAGAAAAACTGGTCCATGCATTTGTCACGTCTAGACTGGACTATTGCAATGGTTTATTATCTGGGTGTCCAAATACTTCTTTAAAACGTCTTCAGTTGATCCAAAATGCTGCTGCCAGAGTCTTAACTGGAGTTACTGGGAGAGATCATATCTCTCCAGTTTTAGCTTCTCTCCATTGGCTCCCTGTCAAATCCAGAATAGAATTCAAAGTCTTACTTCTAACCTACAAAGCTCTCAACAACCTAGCTCCATCTTATATTACAGATCTTATTGTTCCATATTTTCCTAACAGAGCACTTTGCGCTCAGACTGCAGGTTTACTCGTGGTTCCTAGAGTTTCTAAAAGCAGAATGGGAGGAAGACCTTCCAGTTCTCAGGCTCCTCTCTTGTGGAACCAACTTCCAGATTCTGTCCGTGAGGCTGACACATTGTCCAGTTTAAGACTGGGATTAAGACTTTCCTTTTTGATAAATCCTATAGTTAGGGTCGGCTTGGGTTTCCTGAGCTGTCCCTTAGTTCTGCTGCTACAGACTTAGACTGCTGGAGGACAAACTGACCACATCTTTTCACTCTGCTACTGTCTTTACTTACTCTGCTCAACCTGTTTGTAATTATTTCTATCTTAACATGTGTTTTGTCTTTCCTCTTCTAGAAAGTTCACCTGGACCTGCCATCCTGTTTCTGTTTCTACTTCCTGTCCTCTCAAACCCAGCCGGTCGAAGCAGATGGCCGCTCGTCCTGAGCCTGGTTCTTCTGGAGGTTTCTTCCTGTTAAAATTGAGTTTTTTCTTTCCACTGTCTCCTTTGTGCTCAGGGTGGGAGACTGAGACAATGTGAAGATTCAACACAATCTGCTGCTTCCTCAGATGGAGAACTTTTACAAATTGTCTTTTTAGTGTATGTGAATGTTTCTGTTCAGTGCCCTGAGACGACTTCTGTTGGGACTACGCTCTATATATAAATAACTGAATTGAATTCATGTAAAACTGGCTTCACTGATGGACAGGGACACTGGAAATCCAGAAGTTTCTTGAGTCTTGGTGATTCCTCGTTTGTTCCTGAACATCCATTCATTTATTCGAAGGGGAAAGATGAGTATTGGGTTCTGTCAAACAAATATTTTTAAAGCTGGCAAAGGTAAACCTTCCTGATGGTACTCACCAACAGGAAGTTAATAGGTCTTGTCAAGTTAAAAGACCTTCTAGAACTTTCTGGACCACCGATGTCTGGAAAAGAACTGCTCAGTTAAAACTCAATCTAAATTCATCTAACCTTCATGCCTACAATGAGACGATGCAAACTTCTGAGCACATCTGTATTCACCTAGGTCTCAGGTGATGTTTACCTGTGTTGCAGATTTTTCCCTTGTAGTTAGGAGGACATAGACACAAGAAATCCTCTCGGTCCAGAGTGCAGATTCCCCCGTTCAGACATGGGTTTGTGCGACAGGGGTTCAGATCTACGACACACAGGAGAGTCACCTGAACACAGCTCAACATTTAAAGGATTATGTCATCATCTGGAGTGATGTCATTAGTGATGTCATGAGTGATGCTGATTATGGTTGGACTTACTTGTGTATCTGAACCAGAACTCCATCTGGGGATGAAAAAGTCAAAGTTTAAACAGCAGTTCTGAAAACTGACATTGGTGCTGGTTTTAATAGGTTTACTGGTCCAAACTGGTTCAAACTGGTTTTAAACGGGTCTGAGCTGGACTAAACTGGTTCACACTGGTTTTGAACAGGTTTGAATTAGTCCAAACTGGTCTAACCTAGTTCTGAATAGGTGAGGATGGGACTAAACTGGTTCAGGTTTTGAACAGTTCTGAGCCAGTCCTGAGCCAGTCCTAACTGATTCAAACTGGTTTCAAACAGGTGAAGGCTGGTCTAAACTAGTTTAAACTGGGTTTTTAACAGGTGTGAGTGGTCCAAACTGGTCTAACCTAGTTCTGAACACTGAGGACTGGACTAAACTGGTTCACACTGGTTTTGAGCAGTTCTGTGCCAGTCCTAACTGATTCAACCTGAACAGGTGAGGGCTGGTCTAAACTGGTTCAACCTGGTTTTGAACAGGTTTGAGTTAGTCCAAACTGGTCTAAACTAGTTTTGAAAAGGTGAGGGCTGGACTAAACTGGTTCACACTGGTTTTGAACAGTTCTGAGCCAGTTCTAACTGATTAA